GCTTTGAATCTCATTTCCCTCTCTCTCGTTCTGATATTGTCTCGAAGTAAAACACATTTCGTTGAGTTCGTTGGAACTCCTGCAGATTGCAGTGCTGCTTCCGTAGGAGACGAAAATTCGTTCTATCCTGGGAAACGATTGTTGGACGCCTTTAGCACCATTGAAGGTAGCAAATTTGTTTTAAGGAAACATCGTGAAATCGGTGGGCTCGAATTACTGTTTAGATCCTGTTGATCAAATTCTTACATTCAGGTGATTCTGTCGGATTGTTTTCGAAGGAGTAACTTCAAACTCCAGAAACAACATCACTTCCCTCAAAGGTTACAGAGAAAGAAGCTGGGCAAGAAATTCACCAAGTTTATGAAGATTTTCAAGAAACTACACATCAATATTTCGTTTGCAGATGTAATTGCCCAAATGCCCAGCTATGCTAAATTTTTGAATAAGATCTTGTCTAATAAAAGGAAGCTGGACGATTATGAGATAGTCTGCTTGAACGAGAAGTGCAGTGCAATTCTATTGAGAAAGTTACCTCCTAAACTAAAAGACCCAGGGCGTTTCACAATACCTTGCACAATTGGTTCTAATTATTTTGAACATTCTTTATGTGATTTTGGTTACAGTGTTAACTTTATGCCTCTCTCTATTTACAGGTCTTTTGGTTCGGGAGAAGCAAAACCTATAACAATCTCTTTGCAACTGGCTGACAGATCGATCAAATGACCGAAGGAAATTATTGAAGATGTGCTAGTCAGAATTGACAAATTCATTTTTTCGGTTGTCTTCGTCATTTTGGACATGGAGGAGGATTTAAACATTCCTATGATCTTGGGAAGACCCTTCTTAGCTACCGAAAGAACGCTGATTGATGTTTACAATGGAAAGATGATTCTTCGGGTGGATAATGAGCAAGTTATACTCAAAGTGTAGCAACCAGAAAAAAATGTTTTGTTTCGTTTCAAAAAATAAAATTTTCTTATAGAACTCAAATATAATTTGGGTTATATTATTGCGTCGCTACCACACTTCCTTAAGAGTTCAAATTAAAGTTTTGATCACGATAATAAAGTTTCGCGTACTTTGCTTTTTTTTTTTTTTTTAAATTTTGTGAAGGATTAAAATCTCTTTTAGACGACAAATTTTTATTTTTTACATTATTTTGACGACACTTTATATTAATTGCTACCTATATTAAGTCTTTAAAATTTTAAGTTTTTATACACTTATTGTTTATGCCAAACAACCCTTAAACATGATTTTGTCCTTCCAATGACTCCCATTTTTTTAGCCACATTATTTTTATTTTTTTCCTCTCAACCTATCAAGCTGAAATTTTTCCTTAGCCACCCCACTTGAATATGCCACTTACCCACTAAGTGCATAACCACCCCCATCACTAACCATTTTAAATCCCAATTTCAGTCAACTGTCGACCAACATTCATAATGCTATTGATAAACATTTATTTTTCCAAATACCACTTTGATTTCCATTTGGTAAACTGCCACAGTTCTCTTGAAATGCCAACCTACACTTTTATACCCAAATTTATGCACCTAATTAACAGTTTACTACCATTGTTTAACCCTACTTTTGTTAACTGCCAATCCATTTCATTTATTATTTGAAAAATGTTAATTAGCCCCATGCCATTTTGATTCCGTAAACTGCCATTTTAAAAAATAAATCAAATTACAACACCACTTCCATTTGAAATTAAAACCATGACCATCCCCATTTGAAGCCACTACATTAGTAAGACAAAAGAAAAGGGAAACTACCATTTAGATAATTGAAAAGTCTATAACCTCCCCACTTTCAATTGTAACCTCCATGTTTTAAAACCCCCACTTACATATCTTTATAACTCCATTTTTTTTAAATACATTACCAATACCACTTCAATGGAGATTTAAGAGAAAACCCATCCAATTAGAATTTAAAAGTCATAAGCTTATCTTGAAAACCAAATTTCAATTCCTTTAGCCACATTTTTCTCCCAAACTATTATACATTTACATAAAATTATTTTGCCCATTTTCTCATAAACTAAAGTACCTTGAATCTGAAAATTTATTTGAAGAAGAGGCAAACAAGTACGCAACATTTTAGTTCAATATATTGAATGTAAAAAGGGTATTCAAACTCCAAGCATTAAGGTAGGGATGTTTCGGCGCTTTTGTATGTAATGTAAGATATATATGTTTTCGTTTGCGTTACACTTGTTATTACATTACTCATGATGGAATCACCGTTTGATGGTTTACACAAGATATAAAGAGATGATTATGATAAATGAAATGGGGTTATCAAAACCTACAAGTAAGTGGATAGACTGATCACCAATTTGCTTGAAATTGAAGGTGACACTATTATGGTGTTATTCATGAAGGAAGCATCGTTTGGTGACTCAAATAAGAGAAAGAGATTGACGGTGACACAAATAATCAAAGTTTGCATTTATGAAAATATAATATGTATTTTATCATTTACTCTAGTAGACTGCTACTAAGTATGACTTGTAGTACTCACACCCACTATAATCTCACAGGTTGATTCGAGGCATGGAGACAGTTTGACATAGTGGCAAGTGCTCGGTGATTTGAAAAGCTTTCAACTTTTTAGTAAAATTTTCAATTCGTGTAAACGTATTATGAATAATCTGGTAGCACTTTTAAAACGTTTAAATATATGTTTTGTTCCATTTTATATGCATTTCATGTCAAACATAATTTGGAAATATTGGAATGACTATGGCCGAAGTTTATTTACTGTTGACTATAAATTTAGATTCTGTCTTCCATTTGAAAATAGTATAATTGGGATACGTTGCATATTTCAGAGTGAAATCAATGGTTTTTGAAATACCTATGAGTCTTCTAATAGTAGCCTTTAGAATTTCCTTAAAATATTATCTAGAGAAAAAATTATGTCTGTTTTGGTAAACTGCGTCATTTCGAATCCAAGTTTTCTGTCCAGCATATTCGAGCAATATTTTTGTGCTTCAAACGTTATCATCAAGTCACCAAATTTTTATATGTGGTACATATATGAATGGTTTAGTCCTTATAAAAATTTCATAATTTTTAATAGACATTTTCTAGGCCAAATATATTTTTCTTCCGATGTTGTTCAATCCGTAATTGCTGAATTGCCTCCAAATATTTTCCAAAACCAAATTTCACCACAATTTTATAAGTTTATATGAATACTACCGCCCATTATATTTTTATATGTTTCAAAATCCAAAAACTTTTTAACTCAAATTATTTTGGTTACCATCAAAGGGGTCGAATAAAAAAAAGATCGATTATTTTTAACGCTTCAAGTTCCAAGAATTTGGGGCGTTACACAACGTGTTCAAGGAGATAAAACATCCATTGACTTCGAAAACTTGCTGCCAAGTACATGTTTTTGAAGAGCTTGCAGCAGATACATTTGAGACGTAGCATTGAAAAAATCTTTAGGAGGCAGAACTGGTGCAACCAGAAGTAACAAATGCAGAAAAATTGAACGTGCTGTCAACTTGGCCGAGCAACCAATAGGAAAGAGACATTGACAGTATGAATCTTTTGGTGACAACCCTTCACCTCCGGTACCCTTAGTGGAAAAGGCACCTACTCTTGAACTAAAATCTTTACCTTCACATCTCCATTATACATATTTGGGAGACTCTGCCAAACTTCCAATAATCATTGCGAATGACATGACAAGGGAAGAGGAGAATAAATTGTTGGAGGTACTCAGGCAACACAAAATAGCAATTGGATGGACAATAGCTAACATCAGATAAATCAGTCCAACTCTTTGTATGCACTAGATTTTAATAAAGGACGGGACAAAGCCATCAGTGGAAAGACAACGCAAATTAAATCCAACCTTGAAAGAAGTAGTGCAAAAAGAAGTGCTGATATTGTTGGATGCAGGTATTATATATCCTATCTCTGATAGTTCATAGGTGAGGCCAATAGGTGAATTTGTTCTGCTCTAAAAGTCATTTATTATTTGAATTCTCACTCATTTTCTGTTGTCTTGACAAAATTTTTAGTAGTTAGATTTAAAAATCATAGTCAATCATTTTTTTTTATTGAATAGAAGTTAGGAATAATAAATTGAGTATTAAAGAATAGTTCTCGTGGAAATGATAATCCAGATTCAAAAGGTCCACTCTACTACTTTGTTACGATTTGTCCACTTGCAGGATAAAATTAATAACAATGGCTAAATACAAAAACTTTCATTTATTCATATTAGGGACAACAGCTGTAATATTTTTTCTTCGCTTATTGAGTTTTCTTGACAAGATTTTAACGAGACAATATTTTATTACTCAAAATTATTTGTATTTTTTCCATTTATTTGGTATTTTTGTCCCATCAAATTTTTTTCAAAACAATATTTTTTATGAGATAGTTGTATAAATAGTCATTCAAGTAAGAGTATTATAAATAAAAATTGTATTTATGAATAAATATTGTATCATTTGCAGCCGTGAATCTTTCCAATAAATATGGAATTTTGGATCTTAATATAGTACCCATAAATCTATCGACTTCTCTTTCTCTTTCTATTTTGTAACAATTTATACATTATATAAAATGCGATAGAGTAAACTAAAATGTCACATATTTAACCCATGTTACAATAGAAGTTGGTGGAATATTCTAGATGTCAAAATTACAAATGTGCTTAGGGTTTCATACACTAGCCAAGCATTGCAGTCTCTACACGACATTGATAGAAAATTAGATCTTGATTGAAAGCATCAAAATCTTGTAACAACATTCATTGTTTTTTCCATCTTGGATTTTCAAGTAAAGTTGTCGTGTTCTTGTATTTTTTTTTATTTCATTTTGCAATCTATATTGTCTCATTCATAACAGCACCGAACACTTACATAGAGATACGTCAACATCATAATCTCTCCAAATATAGTGAGAAATTAAGGAAGAAGATAGAGAAAACATTAGAAGGAAAAATTGTCATTTAATCAACTTCGAACAAGAAATGTAAATCCCAACGAGGAACATTTCAATGTGTCTTGAGATGACAGATCAAATGAACCTACCTGTCTATTGCATTGTGAAATCAAAATGGCCGCTGATCCTTAGCTGAATTCTTGTTATATGCTACCTATGTAGAGTACAAAAGACAAATGCACGCTTGAATTTTCAAGGCTATCTCTGAAAATTTTGCAGGCCAAAAAAAATAAATAATAACTACCTTTACATTTTAATAACAAAAACTTATCACCTTCATATAGTTTACTGTCACCTAATTAACATAAAAATTCTTCCTTGATTTCTGCTTTATTGGTATATTCCGTTCTAGATTGGATAGCAATGGACAGTATTACATAGTTATACTGTCGAGTCCTGTGCACAAAGTGGCTCATCTTCCTCAATTTCTTCACTGTCATCAACAATGGATGATCCTGTAAGTTCTTTGGCTTTCTTGGATTCAAATTCCCAATCTGTAAGAAGCAAAACCACCATCATTGTCACCATACATGAGGCTTGTGCAGCCAAAAGTCCCAGCCACAGACCTTCAAAATCAAAGTTAAGGAAAAACCCTAAACCTACTGCCACTGGCATTCCGACAATGTAGAAGCATCCTAAATTAATGTTTGCTCCAACTTTAGGCCTAGCTGTTCCCCTCAACACCCCACAGCCTGTTGTTTGTGGGCAGTTTCCAAGTTCACAGAGTCCTATAATTGGTAAAACTAATGATGTCAATGCAATAATCTCTTTGTCATGAGTGAAAAGTTTAGCCCAGTTGTTCCTTACTGATACTGTGAAAAACAGTGCTGAAAATCCTAGTATGAAGCTGCTGGAGAGGCCTACAAAAGCTGCACGTTTTGCTTTTTCTGGCCGGCCGTCACCTATTTCATTGCCTACTCTGGTTGAAACGCCAAAGCTAACAGAAGACGGGAATATATAGATTAATGCAGTGACTTGTATCAAAATCCCCATTGAAGCAACTGTTGCCTTAGGGTTCAATAACAATCCACAGAGTAAAATCATGATTTCGTACCACCACCATTCGAGGCAGACTGAAATGCAGCTAGGAACGGCCAAATTCAGTAAGGATTTCCAGTCCTTCAAGCACTCCATGGATAGTCCTCCCCATGTTTTCTCATAAACTTTCGAGAAAAATATGTAGACAATTAATGATCCGACAAGATTGAAGTTAGTCCAAACACCACTTAGTGCAACACCTTTGATGCCTAAACCAAGCCTTGAAACAAGAAGATAATTTATGGGTATGTGCAGAAGAATTGAAAAGACTGCACAAAATGTTAAAGGCAAAGTTATGGATTGTGTTCTAAGGTAGATTCTTAAAGGGTGTAGTAAAGATTGAGCAAAAAGATCAGGAAGTGAATATAACGAGTATGCTTGAGCTTGTGCTGCAATGGATTCATCTTGGCCACATAATAGTAAAATATTTTTCATGTTGACCCACAAAACAGATATTGGAAATGAAGTGAAAATAAGCAAAAGGATTGTTTTTTGCAAGCTAATGCCAAGAATTTTGTACTTTTTGGCGCCAAAAGCTTGACCACAAATGGGCTCCATTCCCATGGCCAAACCGGAGAGGATCGAGTAGCCAGTGATATTAGCAAAACCAACGGCTAACGAGCCTCCGGCTAAGGCTAGTTCGCCAAGCCCTCCAAGAAACAACATGGAAATCATAGAACGACAGTAAAGTAAAAGGCCGGTTAGGATCATGGGGAGGGCTATTTTAGCTATGGATTTGAATTCTTGTATGATTAGAGAAAGATGTGTAGTTTTGTAGGGTTTCTTGGTTTGATCATCTGTCGGTTGTTGGGGTTGTTTTTGGTTAGATGTTAGGGTTTTGGGAATCAAAGAGGTTATCATGTTGTCTGAATTGCATTCGCAAGGCAGTGGCAAGGATGTTTGCTGATACATTTTGTACTGCGTGAGTGTGTGTGTGAGAGAGAGAGGGGGGCGGGCCAGGCCCAGTGTGGGGGGTGGGGGTTCAGAGAGGAAATGAAAGTGTTTCGGGTCGAGAGAGAGAGAGAGAGAGAGAGAGATTCTGCGGGGTTTGAGAACGGAAATGAATATGGGGGCTTTATAGTGTTTCATCGGACGGCCTTTGCTGGGCCGGATGGGGAAGACGGCCCGGCTTAGCCCAGTTTCAAGTTTTGTGGTAAATGTGGTTGTCTTGTCATGACAGCCGGCCGATAGTGGCCAGAAATAGTTTCTCCTAATCTAATTTTGAGCAATTCTAGAGTTTTGTATATAGGTCCGGCCCGGCTTAGCCCAGTTTCAAGTTTTGAGGTAAATATGGTTGTCTTGTCATGACAGCCGGCCGATAGTGGCCAGAAATAGTTTCTCCTAATCTAATTTTGAGCAATTCTAGAGTTTTCTATATAGGAGTGTTCACATCCTTCTTGTCTATATGCAAAAATTATGCACAAGTAAATTTTTCTTCTAATAATCTGGGTTCAACTAAGATTTTACAATATTATTTTGTGACTTCACACATAAGTCAAACACTAAAAAGAAATTGAGGATCCGTTTGATAGCAAAGATGAAATTTGGGTGGAAAGAAAACGAATTTCAGGAAATTGAATTGCTTAGAAATTATTTTCCTGAAAATTGTAAATTATTGTATTTGATTAATATAATTTTTCACGTGAAAAATGTTGAAATAAAAGTGATTTTTGGTATTAGTTTGACTTTGTTTTATATGAAAATTATCAATTAAAGGGATATATTTTACTGGTATTGGGAAATTTATTTCCATTGTCAAAAGAAAAAAATTTAAGAAAATCATCTATCTTTTGGTGTTTGTTTGACTTTGTTTATATGAAAATTGCCAATTAAAGGAAAATATTTTTTTACAATAATTCTTAGAATTTGTTTTCATTGCCACAAAAAAAAAATCGAAAAAATAAATTTGCTACAGTAGACCAGAAATTGAATTCTCACCATTTCATTTTCCTTCAAACGATGAAAAAAGTCTATGTGACACTAAAATGTGAAAACAAATTGTGACCAATGTGATACACTCGTAAAAACGTCATCATTGCCTTTAGGGAAAGTTATGGATCTGAATTGGGATTTTTGTGCTTCAAAAGAAAAAGACTCATAACTAACTATCACAAAAAACGTAATTAAGCACAAAGAAAGTTAATCGAGCATTTGAGCTTATTTTGTTAGAAAAATGACATTTTGCTTTTTGTCATAACTAATAGTTTTCTTGTCCATAATACAAGTAAAAACTAATAGGGTTAAAGAATTTTATAAGCAGAAATTAAGTAGATTTTGTTGTAGCACGGCAATGTCCTCCTACCTAATACTTGAGTTCTAGGAATTGTTCTAATTAAGTACACTTTTATCTTTTTCTATGTCATGTTTTTGCCACGTGTGATGAAGAAAGATCGAAGCAATAAAACGTTTATAAAAGTCAAGAAAATTTTAATTTTTTACATTTTTTTATTCCAAATTACTGACTGGATCCAATTGATTTGTTAAGAAGGTTCTCCGAGTTGATTAATATGCAAATTAGAAAAAATGAAAAGAAGAGAATGCTGTCAAGTTAGAAAAATCATGGCATAAGCATCGTGATTGATCCGGAATCTTTGCAAGCCTATTCTAGAAGTTCTCACTTTGATGTCAATTACCCATTTCATACTCTATATGGTAGGGTACAAAGGTTTCTAAGGGTCCATCTTGATGTCCATTATGGATCATTTTGTATGCATTTAAAACCATCATTCTTTATGAATGATTCAAATGAGAAAAAAAGAAATATTCTCATTCTAGAAATATTGTCATTTAAAGTTTCGTGGTCGGTCAATTCAGAATTCACACAAATGTAATCAAGAAATTGTCGTGTCGGCATCACTTAGCCATTATCCACTTTAATGGTCAATGGTGATTAACAAAAAAAAGGGTTCATTTTGGTTTGAACGGGGGGTTTCAAATTTCAAACCAAATTAGGGTTCTTATTGAAGTCTCGTAAAATATAGAATTTTGATATTTAAGTCCTATGTTTACACCTTATAAAGTCAAAAGAGTCAGCAGCAGCAATGCTTTCAAGCCTAGTGGAACGGCTGTCCATGATTCACACACAGCTAGTGCGTAGGTCCAATCCTTTTTAAAAGGCCCAAAATGGGCCCAACTTTAATTAGAGAAAGACAATGTTTTGGTCATATAAACGTGTGGAAAAAATATTGATCAAAGTAAGCAATTTTACATGTTAAATTCTTTGGACAAAAAGGGAATACGAATAGAAATTCAGCGGCGGATTGAAGTGAGCAGGACAGAACCTGATGAGCACGGACAGTCGCTCAAGTGGCCTCCCAATATAAGGGCAAAATATTTCACATAACTTTTACTTCTTGTAAGAGAACTTTTGAATAAAATTAGCTTAATTTTTATTTAAAAATTAGTTTTTAAAAGAGTTTCATATTTCAAAAGTGCTTTTAAAAGAAGCAACATTCAACCAACTTCTTTTAAAAGCTCTCCCAATATAAGAAGTGCTTACGTAAGATTAGTAAAAATGATCCAAAATAATGTTAATGGACAATTGTCACGAAATAAGCTTCTATTATGCAAAACAACTATTTTTTAATTTTGGTGCGATACTTTCTCAGATCAAGTAAATGTTGTGCAACACTTCTATCTTTTCAATTTATTGCACTACACCTCGTATAAACCAAATGCTAGGCACATTGTTCATGTCGACAGGACGACGAATTCATCCTCCTTTATATAAATATAGAAAGAAAAAGGTAAAGAAATAATGTTAGATAGATTCTCAATTTTTTTATTAAAAGTACAAATGAATCCCACTTACAATAATTTAAAAAAAAAAAAATTAAAAATCCATTTTTCTTCCCCATTTATTAAGGGATTCTCTATTTTAACTTTTTAAAATATAAAGTGATGAATAATGATTACATTTAATAAATCACAGATTCAATTCTCCAATTCTTAAACTATCAAAACCACATTTTATTTTATTAGTCATTGACATTAAAAATTTTAAATAAAATGTGAGAAAAAATCAATAAATATTTATTGAGAAAAATAAAATGAAGAACAAAAGATAGAGTACTGTTGAATTGCATAAAAAATTTTGACTCTCTAAATATAAAGATACTCTCTATAATGCACAATATGCTCTTTCAAATTAAAGAGTTTATTGAAAATTCTCTTAGAGCAACTTCAAGAGATTATTTAAATATAAGTTGTTCTCCATTTTAAAAAAGTCAATACTTAAAATTATGATCCAAAAAAACTTTTTAAATTAATATTTTAGAATAGAAAGCGAGTTTTTGAGAGCTAAACACAAAATATTACAATTTCAATGGAGGAGAATAATATAATAATTTGGAGGAAAGCTAATGAAAATAAAAGATAAGAAAAAATAAATATTTTTAATAGAAATTAAATGTAAAAAATAAAGAGCTTGTTGGATTATTTAAAAATTTTATTCTCTAATTTATAGATGCTCTCTAAATTAAAAAATATTCCCTCTAAAAATAGAAAATCTCTTCAAGATAATATTAACTCTTTAAAATAAAGAGAATTTTACATTTAATCTCTTTGAGATGCTAAGGCCTAAACCACGTTCAAACTCCACAAGAATTGTCACCAGAGAGAATTTTGTGTCAAATTTAAACACAAGTTTTTGTTGTTTCTCTATTATATTTTTTTCAAATTTTATTTTGCACTATTATTTCTCTTATTTAGCCATTATTTGGTGGGGGATTAAAAACGGTTTTTTAGTAAATTTTGATAAAAATTGATAAAGTGTGTCGTTGAAAAGTTATAGCCTTCATGAAATGTGTGATTAAGGGGCCATTTGAGAGTGAT